CACATTAGTATTGAATTACTATTATGAAAAATCACTACAAACATAAAGCAATACAAATTTGTTATCTTGCACTTCTCTGGTGTAGGGGTTCAATAAGGTTACAGTCTGAGTGTCAAGAAGGCTGAGTTCCTTTCTGCAGGAGCTAGAGGTGAATCTGTGCCCCTTTGTCCAGCTTCTAGAGACCCCTCCAGAGACACACCTTAGCTTGCAAGCCCCTTGCTCACTCTTCACAGCCAGCAACATATCCTCACTCTGATGCACTCTTCTCCTCTCCCCTTCCACAATGAAGAACCCCCATTATTACACAGGTTGCACCCTGATAATACAAGACAATCCCCTTCGAGGCCCGCTGATTAGTGACCTTAATTCAATATGCAAATTTAAGTTCCCTTTTTGTCATTAAGTAAGGAGATGTAACATTCACAGTTTATGAGAATTAGAATGTGACCCTCCTTGGGAGGGTATTATTCTACCCACTACACACCTTATGACCTTGCTCAAATTGAGCCACTATATGCTAGGGGAACACGTGGTCCCAGGGAATGGATACCAAAGCAGGACCAGAAAAACCAAGCGAAGAAGTCAGATTGTTTGTTTTGTGTTTCAGATGTCAAAGTTGACATAGAAGGTAAAATAATAATAATTTAAAAATAACAAAAGAATATGTGATGGATTAGGCTCAGTCACGAAAGTAAAGACTATTTGAGTTGCTGGGAGAGAGGAGTATTGAAAGTCAAATAAGGTAAATGAGTCTCCTTAAAAGGGATCCCATTCCCTACTCCCATTAGGCTAATTGCAGGCACGCTGAAAGGGGATGAAGGACTATAGAAAACCAGGCGGGTCTGAGCGCAGGAGAGGGCAGGGCATCTGTGTCTTACTTGCCCAACAGCATCTGGTCAATGACAGGCATAGTCAAAAGCTCTTCCCAGGCAGGAAAACAGCTAACTGCAGATACCTTCAAGGCACATTTAAATCAACAGGGCTTCGGAGAGCCTGCCTGGGATCCTTAGGGTGGGTAGAAAAGCTGTTGGGTATCTCTCATGTCTCAGAAATGTGAGAAAGCTCCCCAATGGATGGAACCAGCTAGCCTTAAATGACAGCATGATGGAATGAAGAGTACCAAATAACACATGCTAACAGGCACTACACACCTGTGAATCAGGTGGGAGTGGAGAGGTCCTTACGTATAACAGCAAAGACAGAGATTGATGGGTGAGGGCCAAAAGAAACAGTGGGTACCAGATTGAGAGGTGATGGCCCAACACCCAACATCCTCCATTCACTTATGCCTTAGGGACACATTCATTAGGCCCCTGATGACCTTAAACAGAATGTCATGGAAACGAATCCTCAGGCTAGATGCTAAGAGGCATCTGCCCAGGCTCTCAGAACACTTGATCTTGGATGTAAATATTCAGGAAGAGGTTAGAGCTTGAAAACCAAAACTGAATAGAATTTAAGTTTCCATTACCACATGGATGGAACTGAAAGGGAATGACATTCAGTTATAGATAGATACATTACAGAAAATTGGTGCAGTTATGCCTCTAAATTTGTGTGGCTGCAAATATCACATATACTACGTACAACTATCAGTGATATGGTCATAGCTCACTTAAAAATGGCACTTTTAAAATCTCAAGTTATCACTAGTTGCATTCTTTGATTTTATAGAAAATCTATAAGTTCAAGGATGGTCATTCCTTTTTGAAATACTAAGAACCCCAGACTAAGGAGTCAAAATTGATTACATAGCTATTCAATGACCAAGTCAAGGCTTAAGCCCGATCCACTTCCATCAACCTTCTTTCCGTGGTTCTTGCTTCTCCTTTCAGCCAGCTCTTAAGTGGCCCTAGCTCTGAAATGTGACATGGAAGACCTGGTCCTGGTCCTCTCTCTTGCCACCTGGTGGTAAGACCTTGGAAGTCATTCTACTTCTGGAGGGAAAGTATAGTTCAGCTTTGTTATGAGGATGGATCATTGGCCATAGACTTGCTTCGAAAACTCTATATAAAGTGTTTTTAAAATATAAGCTATGATGATTTTTATGCCAGATGCGGTTTCTTAGAGGGGAGGCTATGAGAAAAAAAATTCTCTTTGCAGGCATAATGGAGTCTATAGAGAAATGAAAGGGATCTTAAATCTCAGGTGAAGGTGGGGATTATCCCGTCTATTCTACAGAGAAGAGCTGGCCTGACATCTACCAAACCCTGGAGTTGCAGTTTTCACATTACGGCCTTCATACAATGAAGGTCTCTGACAACCTCATCAGAATTTTGAATTTCCTCTTAATCTCCAGGGAATGAAGGTTCTTTCTATTTTTATTTTCCCAGTATGTATTAATGAGACAGAGAAAGTGAGAGACCTTCTATCTACACACACACACACACACACACACACACACACACACACACACACACCCACAACCCTCTGCATTCTGAGGTTTCGTTCTTCTGGGATCTCTACCCTAAAGGAGAGAAGCTTAATTATTTCAGGAAAGATAACTAATGCTGAGGAGGGAAGAGGCAGACAACTTAATCCTCTCCTAAAGGTCAGACTCCACTCATATTTTGGAGGTAACATGGCCTCAGGACACCCTTTGAAGTCTTGTCCACTTCCTGACCCTAAGACATGGGCAAATCCTCCTTTCCCTCAGGAGCCTCACTTTTCCACGCTGGAGAAGGAAGGCTTGGTATGCAATACCCTGAAGGAGATGCAGAGGAGGGCCACCCACCTACAACCCACCAGCTCCTTTTCCGGCGGTCCGCACCCCATGTTTCCTTGCCTTCCCCATCTCAAGGCCTGCACTGAAGTTGCAGCTGCTTCCTGCCTGAAGCTCCCATGGTGACTCATCCAGAGATGAGTTTGGTTGGTATAGGGACAGGAGTGAGAATCAAGATGGCCCAATGACATGACCTATGACCGTAGTTGGAGGGACTAGGAAAGAGGTATTCCTGTTCTGTAGGACTCACTGACTGGAGGAAGCCCAGCTGGAGACAATGGTGTGATGCTAAGGAAAGCAGAACTAAGACATGGAGTGGGACCCCAATGACATTGGTTTTTTTGCCCCTTGATCCAACTGGGCCTAAACTCCCACTTGGGAACCAGTATATTTTCCCCTTATACCTGAACTACTTTGTGTTGAGTTTCTGTCACCTACAATCCTAAGAATTCTAATTAGTAACATCATGAATTGTCCATCCTCCTCTGAAGACCTGTTGATCTTTGAGCCTAAAATAATTTCATTGTATAACACATTCTCTTATCTAGAAGCTTCTTAGTGCATTGGTCTCCTGGTCTCTATTTCCCCAGCTGGTATGAAGGTACTTCATGGACACTGGTGTATCGGTTTTCCTTGGGTTTCATTCAGAGAGCTTAATCCAGAGCAGGGATTCCCATTCCTGACCCCATCCCTCCCCTCCTAGTGTGGGAGTACTGAGCTGAGTCAACAGATTCCCTGAATTTTCCCTCTACTTATTGGGAGAGAGAAACTCTAGAGCCAATATGTGCTGTAGAGCATCACAGACAATATGAGAACTGTGGGTACAAGAACCAGTAATGATGCCAGGAAGAGCATCGCCCCTTCTCCAGGGAGAAGGGAAAGACTTCCTCTAAGAGATGGAGCTAGAAATATGCCCACTTCTCTGCTCCACGGGCCAGCACAGCAATTCTCCCTAAGCAGAAAGGACAAAGGACAACCCAAGCTAAGGCCGTGAGGCATTCGGTGGGCAACATGTTCAAAGAACTACATCCGGGGCTGGGAGTGTAGCTCAGTGGTAGAGTGCTTGCCTAGCAAGTGCAAGAGCCTGGGATCCATCGCCAGCATTGCAAAAACAAACAAAGGAACAGAAAACCATATATATAAAATCAGCTCCATTTGGCTCTAGTGTAGAATGAAGTAACATAGTGAGAGATGTGCCTGGAGTGGGTGGAAAGGGACAAGACAAGAAGCACTGATGTGAGGCCAAGACTAACCATGGGGCAAGACTTTCCCAGTGTGTTTTCAATACCTCTGCCTCTCTTTCACATGTTAAAAATTCAGGTTCCTGGACCTAACCCCTAGAGGGCTGTAATCTTGGAACAACTACCCTAGGCCATTTTAATAAAATGGTAGGGAAATCCCAACAGGGATCTCACTTATCTTCCCTGATACCCATACTCATGCAAAAATGGCTGCATCCCTCACCCCACATCACTGCCTTGGCATCTGCTCTCTTTTCCTAAGATAAGTTGACTCCTCTTTGTCTTTGTGATACTGGCAATTGAGCCCAGTGTGGCTCTACCACGGAGGTGCATCCCCAGACCTTGTTTATATTTTATTTTAAAACAGAGTCTTGCTCAGTTGCTGAGGCTGACCTTAAACTTGCAATTTTGCCTCGGCCTCATGAGAATCTGGGGTTACAGGTGTGCGCCCCTGTACTTATAATCTTTAAGAATTCTAATTAGTAACATCTCCAGTTGCCCATCCACCTCCGAAGACCTATTGATCCCTAAGTCTAAAATAGTTCCATTATATCACCTCATAATCTAGAAGCTTCTCCATGTACTGATCTTTGGATGTGTGATTTATCTTTTGAACCCACTTCTAATACCAACTTCCCAAGGCACCCATTGCAAACCTTAGGTTTCAAATGAAATTTTCCCTTCTAGGCCACAGCAAATCACCTAAGTTTTACACTATTTATATCTCAGTGATCCTCTCCCCTACCCCTGAGGTATTCACAGGGCTAAGGCATGCTCTATCTTATTCCCCAAAGGACTATAGGCTTCCAGAAATCAGGGCCCCTCAAGGATCTATTATATGATAGGTGCTTGAATTACAATACCTCAAATCATCATTCCAACAATTCAGAGAGGTAGGTTTAATGATCCCAGAGGCCACGGGGCAGGAACTTTGAGTACTGTATCCTCCCTGACAGCTTCCCCTCACAAGGATCAATCTGAACAGGTAGCCTTGGTACCTGGGCAGGTACCATGTGCCTGGGCCAATGGGCACTCACCACACATCCTGAAGAGTCCACCTGGCGGTCAGACACACACTTGAAGTTGCGAGTGCAGCCCCCGTTGTTCCGAGAGCAGTCACGAACTGGCCCGAAGGAGGACAGCAGGTCATTGATGGTTTCAAAGTACGTGGACAGCATCGCTTCTTCCCTTGGAGAGAAAGGGGATGGTTAAACCCCGAAGACAACTGTGTTTGTATTCAAAAAAATAAAATCCATCCTACTGGATATCATCACTTATTTTGCTTAAAATCAGGAAAATAATACAAATAAATATTTCAAAAGAAAGAATTAATAATAGGTGTGCCATCATAGGGCATGGGACTGAAGTCCTATCGTAATAAAGAGAAATGGACGTAGAACTTTGTTTCATGAATCCTCATAATTTTGAAAGATAGGTGTGAGATTTCCACTTTATCACTAGGTGAACTGTGGCTCAGAAAGGCCAAGTGTCTTGTTGAAGGCCACCCAGCTTGTGATGTGATAGAATTAAAGTTTATACCAAATTTCCTTCCGAGTCCAAAAAGAAAGCTCTTCCTACTTATACAACTCTGACCTTGATCATATTTGTTTTGTAAGTTCTAGAACTCCCTAGAATAACTCTACAAATGGGTGCATTTCTATTATTCTAACACCAGTATTCTAACCTGATATTCAATTTATGAAACGGAAGCTATGAAAAGCCGTGAGGCTTCTCCCAAGTCCCAGACTACAGACATCAGAGGCAAGAAACACAGGAGTCTGGCCCTGGGGCCCAGATCGGATAGTTGTTTTTTTCCACCATTGCCTAGAAGTCACACTGTCAAGATTGTCAGCAACAAGCTAGTGGAGAGGTCATGAGATTCAGGGTAACACAGGCTTTTCCCAAATGAGGTTCCCAAAAGAGAAGAGTGGACTAGATACCATAAGCCATGGATCTGCCAAAATTCTGCAAGATAGAATTCTGTAAGTTGGATTCTACAACATAGGGATGCAGAAGAATGTTCCTGGTGCAATTTTCTGGAGAAAGGTCCTCAAAGAAGAGAGTCCCTCACATGGGGATATGCGGGATCCCCACAGCAACAGGGGATGTTAAAGGCACACCAGAGACCGTGGGAAGAGGCAACATTTCTTCCATGGTATATGGCTCATTGAGATGGTAGCCGTGAAAGAAAGGTTATGCACATGCTGCAGAAGGATCCAAGGGTACTGTTAGTAATGTCTCTGGACCATCCTTCACAGATTTGCTCATTCTAATTCTCTGCAGTCTTGGAGCTCTAAGTTTGGGTCTTGGGTCTTCTAACTCATGTCCTGCCTCTAATCTTATCTACTTCGGTCCTATCTTAAATAATAATAACAACAACAACAACAACAATAATAATAATAATAATAATTATTATTATTATTGTTATTATTATTATTTGCTCAAGGCCTTGAGCATGCTAGGCAAGTCTTCAACCACTGAGCCTCATCCCAGGGCTTCTGTCCAATCTTTCCACTGACTGCCATTGAGCCTGGTAAATCACAGCTCTGATTAGACACTCCTCTCATCAGTGGCTCCCCAGTAGATGCAGAACTCAGCCTAAATGAGTTTCTTTGGCCTTAAGGAGTCTCTGTGATCTGGCCCCTGTCTACCCATCCAGCTCTGTCCACCCCATCCTCACACTCTATCCCCCGGCCACATGCCTCTTTCCATTTTTTGAACGCAGGGTACTGGGTCAGGTTCCCTAAAAGCAGACTATGAAAGGCAGTTAAGTGTTGAATAACCTTTAGAGATGTATCTGTAAAGAGTTATCCTGAGGGGAGCTCTGGGGCTGGGGTGGCCCTTTATGGATGTACAGGATTAAGGCAAGGGATCCAGGGCTTTGCATGCCCACATTAGCCAGCCATTGGCTGAGGGCTACAATCTGGAAGCAGATATCCTTGGGTGAGGTGGTTCCTGTGGTTGAAGGCAATGTCCAGGGGAAACACACCTGCAGGCCAATAGCCACTGATCAACACAGCTGAGGGCGGGGTGAGTTGGCCCTGAAGAAGGATCTGGATCAGTCTATACAGATTGAATACGGCTTATCCAAGATACTTGGGACCAGAAGCATTTCAGATTTGGGAATTTGGGGGATTTGGGTATAGGTACATGGAGTTTCCCTGGTGAACATCCCTAATTAAAAACCTGAACTCCAAATGCAGCAGGAATGGAAATTTCTCAAGTGTCATCCTGCAACCTGTACCTTTACCTCTCTGAATCTTTAACTACATTCTTCCTTCTGGCTGGGATGCCCAGCTCTGAATTCTGAAAATGACCTTCCTGAATGACTGTTCCTATTTGTTCATTCTTCATTCACATAGTGCCCACGCTTCTTGAGTGCTTACTACGGACAGGCGCTACTCTATCTACTGGGGATTCGGCAGTGATGTTGGCAAGGTCCTCACTGCCCCAGGGCTTATTACTCCCTGGTTGGTACAGCCTTCTCTACCTTCCCCACTTGCATTGATTCCTTTGGCTTTTGAACATATTTTTTAAATCTCTTGTCTTATTGATTTTATAGATTGGCTTCATGGTCACCCAGAGAAACTGTAAGCTTTTAAAGAAACGGGTCTAAAGATTTATTCATCCTTCTTCAGTCCCTCGCACAGGGAAGAACAAACACTAGACAGATATTTTCAAAAGAAAGAAAGAAAAGCGGAAGCCACAGACGCAGTCTCCACCAGGCAGTGCTTTTCCCGGAGCCTGCTCCAGCAGGAGACTCTCCTCTCTGTCCCCATTCTGGGTTCTCATTTCTCATCCTTCAGGTTCAGGTCTACAGGGTGGAGACAGAGGAGAACAAGCAAGGGGAGCCACCAGATTGTCCCTTGTGAGGTGACAGGTGTGGGGGCTTCACAGTTCCTGAAATGAAGCTCACAGGAGACTTGCCACTTTTGAATCATGGCGAGACTTGAGGATGCTGGAAAGAGATTAAGGCTATTAAAATATTAACCACCCCAGAGGGAGAGGAAGCAACAGAGAGGGAGAGGGGGAGACGAGACGGGGGAGACGAGACACAGGAGAGACCATCTGAGAGAGTGAGAGGATAAGAAAAACTGCCAGACAGAAAGAAGAGCAAAGGAGAGGGAGAAACACATTTAGACATCCACAGGAAGACAAATAGGGGCAGAGGAACAGATGGACAGACAGGTGGGTGGGCAGACAGATGCACAGAGACACACATGTCGAGGACAGACACAGAGACTAAACCACAGGCAAATGGAGACAGAGAAGGCTCAGGAAAGGGTGCGGGGGAGGAGACGACAGGAGAGGGAAAGAGAGAACAGAGGAGTTAGAAGTGGAGATGGAAAGAGGAGAAAGCATCCAGCTAAACAGAACCCAGGCGTAAGGTAAGGAGGGGAGAGGGGAGGGGAGAGAAGCAGAAAGACTGAAAGTGAAAAGAAAGACACAGGGAAAGAACCCACAGAGAGCTACAGAGGCAGAGAGTGAGAGAGAAACAGAGGGAAGAGAAAAATAAGCAAAGGATGCCGGCTTCCTGTGGAACCCAGAGACGGCTCAGGCAATACAAATAGGAGGTGGTGAGCTTTAGAAAGACCAGCTCTGCCTAAACCTTGTTCCATGCTGCATGTAGGCAGTGCCCCTTACAACTCAAAGCTCCGACACAGGGCTGTTTAGCCAGGGAAGTGACTGCCTGTGGGCGACGAAGAGTCTGAAGATGAGAGAGGAAAGGAACCAGGCTGCGCTGGATGCAGGCATTTTCTCAACAAGGGCTCACTCTACCATCCCAGCCAGGGTGTGGTGTCTGTTAGATCTTACAGCTGCCCTGATAGTGGAGGGAGAGAGAGAGCAGTCCTATGGGCAGAGTCCAAGTGGACTGAGGGGTGTCGCATTGGTGCATCAGGGGACCTGGGAGAGATCCAGGCCTCACCGGGGGTCAACTCATCGTGAAGGTCATCTTCGCTATGTATGATGGACTGAGCACCTGCCATGTGCCAAGAACCGTGCTCAGCTCCTTTGCTGGGCAGTTTCCTTTGATTTCCATATAACAGCCCTTGGAGCTACACATTTCCCTTCCTATTGGGCAGCTAGGGGAAGCAGGTCTCAGGAGCGGCAAGGTCAGGCTTCTGGTCCTGAGCTTTCCTTATGCCACCATTAAGGGTCAGCAACTGTGTCTTGTGTCTTGGGAGGGTCAGAGTTCTCGTGATGGTACATCCATCCAGTAGGAATCTGAGTCCAGTTCCTTTTTGTCTAGAGGAGGAAGAAAGGGAAGGGCAGAACCTGTGAACTTTGTGTAACCCTGGTGCCTGACTCCTGGCCTATGCATGTAACCCACAGTAGCCCC